ACTGCAGAGACAGCTCAGGAGAAAGCATGAAGAAAGCCACATCTGGGTCCCCCAGTAGTACCCTTCTCTTCCCTTTTTGGGGGAGGGTTCCCCTACTAAAATTGACCTTCCTGAAAAGTGGGCACCCTTCTAACCTCTGTACTGGACCTAGAAGCTCACTTCCCATAGACCCCGAAGTTGAATTGTGACCTTGCAATCAGACTTGCAGACCTAATCAGAAGGTGTCCTTTGGGCTTCCTTTCGGGTGGGTGAATAATCTTTCGCGTCGAGTGGGATTTGAGTTGCAGGGTAGTCAGCCCTGCACCCCCAACTTCCTTGATGGGCAAGCTCATGTGCTGCATAGTCTACGAGCTCGCAGGGGGGGGGGGGGGGATGAAACATTTTCTTGTGTTCTGGAGTTGCTAAAATGCTCAATCTGCAAATCCTGTAGAAGAACAGGTTAACACAGAGCCAGATAAACAGCATTCAGAGAGGAAGCTCCTGAATTTCCTTCAACCAAAAAGGCCCAGTCAAGAGTTCGAGAGTTCGAATGGCCAACCGGCAGTACAGGATGGTTGAGGCAATGCAGACATCACAAGACTGGGTGAATTATAACAACCTCACACGACCGAATTCACCGGAATAGCCCCCAAACCACCTTTGAAATATTATAATTCACCCAGACAAGAGATGGGTGGATGGCCCTTTGGAGTCTCCTTCTGTCAACCTGCGAAACACAGTGGACTCGTCAGCGTTCCTCGAACAAAGTGTGCCATTTAGCCGAGACAGAAGCAAGAAGGAACGCGGAGAAGCAAGAAAAAAAGGGAAGACCAACAGAAGAAGAGCCTCGGAAAGAGGAGAAGGAAGGACCAATGTTAAGTGAAGAAGTTCAACATCAACACACAGGGCCTGAAAAACAATGAGGGGTATGCCTGTTTGGGCGGGGAAGGGTTGTGGAATCACAGGGCACCGAACAACCAAGGTGTTCCTGCAAACCAACCTGAAATAAAGGTACTCAACAAACACACAACCCCGTAGCATGAGTGGGTCTTCTTGAGGATACTCGTTTTGGGGGTTGGTTCGAAGGATTCCCGGATGACACGCTGGCTTTAGGAGATTTGTGTCAATGTTCAGGAGTGTAAGAGTCCGCACTACTTCAGTTTCCTTTGCGCGCCAGGACTGGGCCTACGGCAAGTGGGAGCGTGACGCTGAGTGAAGCCAACTGCCTGCGAGCCCACGGGGTAAAAAATAAAATGAGTGGCAGGCCGTTCAGGAGTCGGAGCCCTGGGCATGTTGCAGATTTTGGCATTGTCCTTTATGACATTTAAGCTTTGCCTCCTAGGTCCCCCAGTAGTGCGCTTTTACAATTTTTTTGGGGGGGAATCCCCTACTAAAATAGACTACAGAAAAAGGGTACCCTTATTCTATCCTCTCTACTGGAGGACCTAGCCTCTTTATGACTCTGCCCATTATTGTCCTTAAAGTCTCTTATTTTTCAGCATTGCCCTGTATGACGTTGAGCGCCAAGGGACCAGGGGATGGGTGGACCATTGCCAGACGCCGCTTGAGGTCCGACGGTCATGCCGACGCAGAGGAGGACCGTGGATTTCTGCATCTCAAAGCAGGTGCTCGGGTTGTTTTGATTAGCAGCCCTCCCCCCAAAAAAAAAGAAGAAGAAAGAGGGTCTTTCTCCCTTTGGTTGCCCTTTAAACTCACCTTCCAAGAGGGTACCCTCAAAAATCGTGAACACAGCCTTAGCACTCACAAACATGCTGGCAGAATGCCATCAAGCCGTTCCACCCATTTCCTGTGCAACATCAACGGAGTGCTGGCTGCATCAGCTTTTACGTAACTCTTTTTACGTACCGTTTACACATGTTCAGTTCTTATACCAGCCGCTTCTGCCAGGATGCCTTCCCCCCCACTAAAATAGACTAAAATGGGTGGTGCACCTACCCCAAAATAGCACCAAAACGGTTTTCACCCACAGCCAAATGGCACCTGGCGACAGCTGAGTCGAAGCAACCCGTCAATCCCATGTTACAGCCGTTTCTCGAAGCTCCTGAGACGTGCCGGCGGGGCGATCTTTCTAGTTTACCCAACGAGGCAAAACCCAACAAGCATTGTGTTTTTTGTTATTAGCATATATTTAAAAACATAATAACTCAGTTTGTTTAATCAAAACCCAATACACAACCCGGTTTGTCAAAAAAAAAACAGAAAATAACAAAAAACACGAAAGGGTCTCTACTTTTTTCGCCACAATCGTTTATCCCGCTTTGGAGGACTTCGGCATTGATTGCAAAACACTATACAGATGATCTTGTTCAAGCTTGGCCCGACAATGCCTTCCGAGATGGGTAAGGCAGTACCTTGCGAGCAACTGACCATTTAATTAGAGGGGTACCGGATGTTTGATGCTGTCAAGTGATATGGAGCACTTGCCAACATGGTTGGTGGTTTCACTCACAATTCAAACAACATGACGGGTTACGCATACAGATCCAACCATGTGTCTGACCAAATCTCAACATCCATGCCCATTCGCCCCCCCCCCCCCCCCCGTTTCCCCCCTGGTTGGTGTGCTTTGGCTGCCATGCGGCTGCAAACCGTCCAAGCAAGTAGACCTATTTCAGGGTTCCCCTTGCTGCAATTAGAATATGGCGATGTGCCGAGGGGTTCCTCTCAAACGGACCCAGCCAAGAGCCTCAAGACAAACATACCCAGACACACGCCACACGCCCAGGACGAGCCTGAGGAGGCTACAGGCGCGTGGGAGCGGAGGGACTGTGAGATCTCAATGTGGGGCACTGTGGGGCCGGTGTTGACGCCATTGGGGGCAGCATTGGGCGCTGTTTCCGGCAAAGGGAATTGGGGCAAACTCTTAAACCTATGTGGAGCTTGATTTTTGGTGGTTGGGGGATGGAATCATGTGTATCGTGCAGATTGGTTCCTGTTTTCCTTTACCAGGGGCCAGATTTCTACTTACGATTGGATCTAGGGAGCGGCCCTGTGGAACCTGCACACTTGTTTGCACCTACAGAGAAAAGAATCACCAAAAATTAATCTCACTTCAAGGGGAACTACAGGGAGCCCTACAAGCTTCACTGGCCATTTCTGAGGCGATGAGCCTTTGGCCGCCGGCAGTGCGGTCAACTCCGCGCGGGCGCTGCGATCCTCCACGAGATCGCGAGGGGCCCCATGGGAGTCGGCTGGGTCAAAACCGTTTTGGTACCACCGGCTCCCTAGTTTCAACTCTGGAAAGGGTCAAACAGGGCTTTAACAGGGGCGATATGGCTGTGGGGCAAAACTGTTTTGGTACCATTTTGGGGGTAGGTGAATTCACCACCCATTTTAGAACCTATTTTAGTTGGGATCGGGATGTTCACTGGGGTACGGGGTTTTGACCCACGGCCATTTGGGGGGGCGGGGGGTTGGGGTTTCTACATTGTCAGAATTGGTACACCTTCCACCAAGAAACGGGTGCCAACTTTTGAGTAACCTCAGAGAAAACACCCATTTCGGTGTGTTTTGAGGTTGGTTGGTTTAAAGGGGGATCCAGGGGTAACCACCTTTTCTGGGGTGCCCCTTCTTTTGACACATACACATGCAGACACACACACACACACAAACACGGGGCCCGCAGGAACCAACAAGAAATTGCCATACCAGGAACCTTCTGACAGGTTCCATGGTTGTTGCTTGGAGTTCGTACCCCGCGTGGGTTGTGATCCTTTCGGATCTGATACCGATATCCATTGTTATTTGTTTTGTAAAAGGCAGCACCCAACACAAACGGGCTCCATGTTAACTCTGCATTGCTGCAGAACAGCTGTTTGAAGGGCACGCTTCGTGCTCAGGTTACAGGGAATGCAACTTTCAGAGTCATGCAGATGACTTTCGATGCCCAGTCTTTTGAGCATATTTGTGTGTTTGAGTTGACAATGACGCGTTTTTCTCGCTGCATCAGTTTAGTTACGCCTTTGCAAGGGCTTGAGCTTGGAACATGCGCTCATCCCCTGTCCAAAAAAGAAAACTGGGCATGGGAAGAAGCTTTGGGGGGGTGCTGACACCACAGTGCAATGGGCTTAGTTTCCAGATAATCACAGGCATGACTTCGGCTCCCACTCAGATTCCCCCCCCCAAGCCACGTTCATGCCAGATAGATTGAAATTGCATTTGCTCGTACCTAGTGGAAGGGACAACCCGACCAAGACAAACGCTTGTCAAGTTTCACCGCTATGCCATGTACAGGCAACGCCAGGGGAGTGCTTAAGGTCGAAAGAGTTCAAAGCGACACAACCATCCATTTGTGGTGGCCAGTGTCTGTTGTTCCAGGAGGCAGGCTTTCGCATGTCACACCGATGCAATTTGCTACATCAAGCTTTTGCTTCTTGCCCAACTATAGTTGTTCTGACTCGAGAAGTTTGGTCCTTGCTTCAGATGAGAAGCTGGTGCTTGTGTAACATTGAGAACGTATGATTCAGATCCTTCAAGCTGCTCTGGGTGGTGTTGCTGACTGAAGCCCGTGTTTGGTGGTCAGTGTGAATGCGGCCGTTCATGAAGCGAGAGTTCATGGCAAGTATGTCCTTCCAACTTTTGTGCCAAGTGCGAGACACGAAGCGCTTGTGCTTACCGGGTGTGCGACAGGAAGCGCTGATCATGCTTATGCAGTTCCGATCATGCTTATGCAGTTGTTGACTTGACGGGCTTTCCATGCCAAGCTTGCCGTGTTGCATTTGATGTGTTTGTTGACTGGGAGACAGGGCCAGAGAGAGGCTAATGCAACACACGACTCCCTATCTGGGCAACAACATGGACTCCCGGTCTTGCATTGGCATTTGCACTTGGCCAGGCCTTTTTGCCCCCCCCCCTCCCCCGCCCCTCTGGCCCTGATGCGCAAGCAATCCTCCCGGTTGTCGGCTGTTTCGTTCCACTTGGAAACATGTACGGCCTCGGTTGCTCTTGGCAAACTGACCCAAAGGTGCTCGTTTAGGCCACTCCGCAAATTTGCTCGCCGCAGCTTTTCACCATGGATGTAGGATAGTGAAACTTTGGCCGCGGCGCGCCAAGCGCCAAGCGAAGCCGCGGCCAGCAGACAAGGCGCCCGCGGCGCGTCGGATGAAGGGATACCCGGATCCAGGGGAGCATGGTTCAGCCCTCCATGAACTGCTGTGACAAAGCTAGCAGCTAGGATACACTAGGTTTTCGGTCAATCTTGCTACGTTTGGGAGGGACATAGGGGTGCTTACTAACTTTACCATCAGAGGGTCACTGCTTTTCTTCATGCACTGCAGAAATCACTTTTGTTTTTGACCGTGGCTCGTTTAACCAAATTAGTGACCTCACCAAGGTGGGGGCCGGTTCGTGACCTCACCCACGAAGGCTCCTTCCTCGTGGTGGAGGATGATCATTTAGCTAGACTGTTAGGAGACTGCTACAAACATGAAGCTAGCAGTCTACATAGAAAAAATATGTCAATGTGTATATAATCCCTTCCCCCTAATAATAAACGACTCCCCCCCCCCCCCCCCCCCCCCCCCCCCCGAATAAAAAAAATCCCGGCCAGCAAAACAATTTTTATGATTTGGGGTCCCCTGGATCTGGAGGTCAGGTTTTGAAGGTGCTCCCGGAGTTCTGGCTCGAAAGTCGCAACTTTGTAGTACAGCCGTAGGAAAGGAATCGTACTCCTGGAGTTCTGGCTCGAAAGTCGCAACTTTGTAGTACAACCGTAGTAAAGGAAACGTACTCCCGGAGTTCTGGCTCGAAAGTCGCAACTTTGTAGTACAACCGTAGTAAAGGAATCGTACTCCTGGAGTTCTGGCTCGAAAGTCGCAACTTTGTAGTACAATCGTAGTAAAGGAAACGTGCTCGCGGGTCCCCCTAATGGGGCTGGATTTGAGTACGGGCAGGAAAATACCTACTTTAGAATTGGTTTAGCATTGGCTATTCTAAAAGTAGTATTCCCGGATTTGGGACTTCTGAAACAATTATTATTAGGGAGACCTTTATTAGTAGGTGGAAGTGATTATATTTTGTTAATGTTGAAACGCATGTGGAAACATGAACTGTGTTGGCAATGCTTGACCATAATGGCGCATGCCATTTTGGCTCAAGCTTTGCCCTGGGTTCTTTGAACCCAATTTGTGTGAAAAAACTTGAGTTTGAACACTTCCGAACTAACCCCGAACCAGCAATGGCTTCCTCGGCAACCTCGGCAACTTCCTTCGAGCTGATTGAGGACCAGACGCTCACCGCGGAGGAGGTGGAAATGGCCAGCCAGGAGGCCCAGGAAATCCGCACACGCGAGGCGGCAGTGGCGGCCGGCCTGGTGTTGGACGAGCCCGAGCCCCCCCCGTCGGCTTCGGCTACCGACGTGATGAACGACCTCTCCAGTGCACTGGAGCGTCTCCGTGTGGCTTTCTCCACACCGACTTCCGGCTTGGGTGCCCCTGGCCCCGCCGAGGAGGAGGACAAGGACATGGAAGATGCGGACGCCACGGAGCGGGCTACTCCACCAACGAAGAGGCTGAAGGGTTTCGTGGCGGCTTCCCAGAAGACCACGGCTCAGGTGAACAAACCGGTCGCCCTTGTGCCGGTGGAGGGCCGTCCCGGCTACTTCAAGTTAGTGGACCTCCCAGACCTCTTCCCGGTCCTTCCGGCGGCCACGCTGCTGAGGGACGTCACGGTGGAGGAGGCGGTCTCCCTGTTCCACAAGTTTGTCGGGAAGAATCTCACGGAGGACTTGGTGATTCGCATCCTGGAGGCCTATGTTCCGATGAAGATCCAGATCCGGCAGGAGGAGGTCTGGGCCTCACAGTTCCAGAGGAACAAGGCGTGCATTGGCACCCAGCGGATGCACAGACTCGATGCCGGCCACTCAGACTACAAATTCATGTGCAAGGCATGCGGCACGGGGTGGCCGGAGGCAGCCAAGCAATGCTGGGTCTGCCCGGCAAGGAGTTCGTCCCCTTCCAGGCACCCTCGGCTAGTACAACCTGCTCATTGTGGAGGGCAAGCCGACCTGGATCCAGCAGCGGGAAGGGGGAAGCCTGGGTGCCGCTGGCCCCGGTGGTACCCGGGCACAGGCAGACCGCAACCTGGTGGACGGCACGGTCCTGGGGAGAGCTCCTCCGAAAACGGACACGGCAGAGGAGATTACCATGGCAGACGTGGTCCCGCTCAACAGGCGGGTGGACATCCGGCAGGAGATCCTGTCCATGGAGGCGGACGATGAGGCGTTGAAGGTCCGGGAGCGCCAGGAGGTCAAGGTCAAAGTGCAGCGGTCCCTGAAGGAGGCGGAGGCTCAGAGCTTCCAGCTCTACCACCCCCAGGTGGACCAGGCGATCCGGAAGAAGGAGGAGCTGCATAAGGCCTTGAGGGAGCACCGGGAACCGACCCTGGAGGAGTCCTCGGCCAGGCGGCGGCACAAGGAGTTGGTCACGGACGAGATGCTGGACAATGAGATGGCTATCCTGGCGCCTCTCCAGGAGGGCATGCAGGCCCTGCCGTCAGAGGAGGTGGCCAATGAGGGAGCCCGGGCCCTCAGAAAGGTCAACCTGGAGCGATTCAAGGCCAAGCTGCGAGATCAGTACCTGGAGGGGAAGGGCAGCCAGGCACTGGCTGAGGCAATGGGCTCCATCCAGGAGGCTCAGGAGGCGAACAAGCGCACCCAGGACACCAACCAGGCATGGATGCTTAACCACACCCTCAAGCCCTTGGAAGTGTCGGCGTGGCCAGATGATCTCAGGCAGGCACTGGAGAGGGGGCTGTTCTGCCCCCTGGAGCTGGATGACTGCGAGGACATCCCCAACGTGGGAGACATCAAGGAGAAGTATGTCCCCTACATCAGGAGGCTCAGAGAGGCGCAGAACCCATGGAACCAGGAAGGAGGCGCTGCTGGAGGAGATGCCCGATCTGGCGACACCGGCGGGTGCCACTGGCCCCGGGGGGGACCAGTCAATGCCACAGCAGGACCTGGACTCGGAGGAGGGCAAGCTGTCCCTGCTCCTCTGGGCGATGAAGAGGCACCAAGGTGAGCTACGGATGTTTGGGGGGATCTGGAAGAAGCACTCAAGCGGTGAGATCCCCAAGGGCGCGGACCAGCAATTCAAGCTCACTCCGGAGGAGCTTCTGGCCCTGGAACGCAGGACCCACCCACTCACGTGCGAGCAGGACCACATCGACCCTGTCATCTACACGGCCTTGGAGATCCGAGCGCAGGTGAACCGGGGCGAGCGCCCGGCGCCGGAGCAGGTGGTGGGGATCTTCTGGGCGAAGGGCGATGGAGTGTTTTGGACAAGGCAGACGAGAACGTGGGACCTGCCGAGCCTGACGGGGGTGTACGCCCACAGGTTCACCTTCAAGTACATCTACTCGGCCTGGACCACCTTCCCGCTGATCGTGAAGACGCAGCGCCGGGGCCGCAATGCGGAGGGCTCGGCCTCGGACAAGTGGATGGGCAACATCCTCCAGATGAGGAAGGAGGCGGTCCCCTTCCTGGAGAGCCTGGGAATCCCCAAGCCGCGCAGCAAGGCGGAATGGAGCTACATCTTCAAGGAGATGGGGACGTTTCTGGCGGCCAAGAATTTCATCGTTAACTGCCCGTTGCCGGTGATGGAGATCCCAGTGGCCCCCGTCCACGACAGCAAGGAGGCGCTGCGTTTCAGGGCGGTCTGCGACGAGCGAATCACCCTTCCGCTGTCATCGTTGAGGGCTTTCGACTCGGTGTACACCAAGCTGGTGTCGGGCCTGAGTAAGTCCTCCATGGTGGAGGTCAAGGTCAACTGGCGGTGCAACGTGGTCCATGACTGGGTGGAGCAGGAGGCGGCGGGGGCCCTGTACGACCGGTTGGGCTACTCCCAGGACCTTATCAGGCAGCTGGGTCCCCCCCCTGGCCCCGGGGGAGGAGCGGCCAAGGAATCGGACCCCAAGGCCAAGATTCTGGGGGGGGCGGACACCACGCTCCGCACGCCGGACCAGGGCACCAGGCGGTACCCTCCTATCACCACGTCCACGGTCACGGCGGTCGCGGGCCGGAAGTACATCAACAAGCACTTCGCGAAGGAGACGAAGCACGTGTTTTGGGCCTCCGTGGAGTGCGGCCTGGTCCTGCCCAGCATCAGCGCCTGGGAAGTGGTGGGCAAGGAGAAGTTCAAGACCACCGGGGGCTACATGTGCAGGTTCTGCAAGGGCTTCTGGAGGGCGAGCCGCGGGGGGACCAGGCTGCTCCAGATCACGGGGTGGCACAAGGACAAGGCCACATGCCTGCAGCTGGTGATGGACGAGCCCCCGCACCAGCTATATAATCAGTGGATCCGGGACAGGATGGAGTTCTACAAGCGGGTGGAGCCGACGGAGCCTCCCAGGGACGAGCGGCTAGTCCTTGGCAATGCGAGCACCCCGCGCATGCGCTTCAGCTCCTCGAATGGCCTGGGGGATGTCTCCACTGCCTTGTGGTCGGTCATCTTGAGCAACTCGGAGAAGTCAGGGCTGGCGGCCATCCACTCGGTGGCTAAGGAGGCGATCTTGAAGGGTGAGAGCCGCTAGGTCGTGTCTCACAGCCTTTTTGGATGGGGAGTCGTGAGATCTCTTCCCACCGGGACCTGGGTGCCTCTGGCCCCGTCTCGGGTGGGGAGGAGTAAGGGTGTCCCCTTTTGGGTTCATCTTTCACCTGGGTTTCCCCCCCTGTTCAACGCGTCACTTGCCTCGATCTGGAGGTCGGCCACAGTTTGGAGAACTGCGGCTGACTCTGGGTTCCCCTGAGGTCCCCTTGCGGGTTTTGGGGAATCCCCCGCCGGGTTGGTCTTCCCCCCTCCGTGGTCCTTTTTGGGGATTTCTGGGGGTTGACTTTTGGGTCCTGTTGGGCTGCATGTGGCCTGCCTGCCCCATTTGCACTCGGCATCCTGTGGGGTTGGAACATGCGTGCAGTGTGCCGCGGTTGGGTCCCGGCCGTTCAATAGGAGGCTCGAACCCCCGTTTTCATCAGGGCTAGGGTCTCTGCAAAGTTTCTTTTGCGCCCGCCTTACACTCGTCTTTGGGACCGCATTCCACGGGGGACCCCTTTCATAATGTATGCCCAGTGGGGGGGGGGGGAATGTATT